GCGTCTTCCTGGCGCGTCCTTCGTCGACGCGCCGTCGCTCGGCCGCCCGACGGGCGACGGCAGGAAGCGGCCGAGGACGCCGAGGCTGAGCTGGCGCCCCATCGACCGCCGCGGCGACGGCTCCGCGACGGCGCGCGCCTCGGGCGTCTCGTTTCCCTCGGGCGCCGTCGCGTCGCGCTCCCTGGCGCCGAGGCTCAGCATGGCCTTGAGCATGGCGGGCGCCGTCGCGTGGTGCTCGATGCGCAGGTGGTGCTCGTCGTCGTCGTGGCCCTCGTGCCGTCCCTCGAGCAGAAAGTTCTTGCCCCGGAACCGCGAGCCGTCGCAGGGCCGCGGCGGGTCGTCGCCGCGGGGCCGCGGCGCGTCGTCGCCGCGCGCCGGCGGCGCGCCGGCGGCGACGCCGTGCTTCTCGAGCGCCAGGGCCGGCAGGAAGTCGCGGAGGAGCGCCGCGGACCACCGCTCGCAGTCGGCGCCGCGCGCGTCGAGGATTGCGCCGAAGGCGCCGCCGCGGCGGCCCAGGGTTCGCATGCGCCGCGCGAGGAACGCCGCCGACGCCGCGTGCGCCTCGACGGCGGCGCCGAGGTCGCCGAGCGCCGCGGCGGCGGCGGCGGGGCTGCAGGCCGGCGCCGGCGCCTCCTTCCGCTCGTCGCTGCCCTCGCATGCGGCAGCGTCCGTGTCCGGCGCCGTCGGGAGCTGCGGCGAGGCCAGGTTTGACGGAGCACCCTCCGGGACAAAGTCTGCAGGAAGAACTGCCTCGTCCTGAACCATCGTTCCAGAGCTACCGACGGCAACAAAAAAAAGGTTCCAGGCTACCCATTAAAAACCGGATCGTTGAATTTAGGGTAAAAGTCAGGGCTGCGCGCGCGATGTGCTCGCGCGCCCGCGGTCGCGCGCCCCGCGTAGGCGTCGAGGGCCGCCACCGCCGGCTTGATCATGATTTTGGGTGGGCAAAAAATGCCATCGGCTCGGCCAAACGACCGACATGGGCCTCAGACAGGCCGCTTCGGGCTGCCCATCGTCTCCCAACAGCTCGGCGGTCAAAGTCGTCTGAGCCAATCACAGAGCTGGATTCGACGACTTTTACCTTTACTCAACAAGGGCTTGCGATCAACGAACCGGTTTTTAATAAGTATCATCGGTTATTGGGGCTGGTCTCGATGCTCTGCAAAGCGTGAGAGCGCCTCGTTAGATCAGCGCGTGGCCCGTCGGCACGACACTAGCGTCTCGTAAGATCAGCGCGTGGCCCGTCGGCACTCCACTCCGCGATGGTCCTCGTCGCCCCGAAGCCCGAGCCCGTCGTCGCGAGCCGCCTGCGCCGGCGGTCGGCGCAGGCGCGCGCCCAGGAGAACCTCCATTTGACGTCGCGCCAGGGCGGCGCCTGGACCGCCGACGAGGACGCGCGGCTCTGCCGGGAGCACGCGGCGGGCGTCCCCTTTGGAAGCATGTGCGCGGCCCACGAGCGCAGCGCGCGCGACGTCCGCGAGCGGCTCGCGCGGCTCAGGGCAGCAAAAGGGTGATTCAACTTCGCTTCAACATGAGTGTTCCGCGCGCGCGCG